AATTCTTCTTAATATCCTCCGAATTGTAGAAATTCCAATCGCATGTTTGGTACAATCCAAAATAGAACTGAAAAAAAAAATGAAAAAAATTTCACTTGCCCAACTCAATTTCCCGCGATATCTAGATATCATCCCTTGAGCACCCTCACTAGCGTCTTAAAACCCTCTCCCTTGAGCTCCCTCCGATTCATCTCCTTTGCCACCAGATTTGACAGATCCATCTCATCTCCACCTTCAGGCTGTAGTCCTTGCTCAACTTCACCGTGTCAAAGGCGATTCGAATGCCCATGAATACAAGCCTCGGGTCGCCAAGGGTGTAACGAAGTGACTAGGGGCCATGACCGATCTAGTAGACGAGGCAACAACAATCGATGCAGAGGTAAAGGGTGGTGACGGGGTAGTTAGACACTGCACGCAAAGCTCGGGCGCCACTTGACGTCAAAGGCGACTATTCAGGGGTAATGATTGGGGGAGAGAAGGTGGACAGATATCCACCAGTGGCGGTGGATGGCATTGGGGCAGCAAGTAACGAGGGCGTACACGCCTTTGTAGTGGATGACGACCTCGAAGAATCTGATGCACTTGTGAAAGGATTCAAGTTATTTGATGGCAATAGTCATGCGACGTATAATTTCTCTTTTTTGTCCTCATTTGTCGGAACATGATCAGCGATCACACGGTGGTCGGAAGTGACAAAGATTGGATTTTTTATCAAGGTATATCCGGTCCAGAGGACGTCGCTAAACATCATAAGAAGTCTTAGTTCGTACCTCAGAATTGAAAAGGAAGAAGGAAACTTTCCAAAAAGAAATAGTGCGACAAGAATTATTAAAAAAATTCATTCATTTAGTTCCTTAACCGTGACCATAAAATTTTTTATTTATTTATGAAATCTCCTATATATATATATATAGAGTTCGTCAACAATGCCCTAGGGCACTTGTTAAATAATCAAGATATAAAAAGTTTGATATCGTCAATGCACCGTCTATCTCGCATCTTGTATGATCGATCTTTTGAAGATTAAAACCATAATGAAATCTTACATAAATAGTACATTGACAATAAAAATCACTAGTTGATGCCTGGGGACAACCCAGTACTATTGGAATTTATATACCTGCTAAAACCCTAATTTATTTCCCTTTCCTTACGTTTTCAGTACGTTTTAAGGCAAGTTGGCAAGTTTCCTCCACTTGTGCCCATGAAATCGATTGCAACTGCCTAAGCTTTTGTCATAATCGACATGGAACGTCATGGTTGGGCCACTGAAAATCAGTTCATTGATTGGACGGAAAGGAGTCGGTCAAAGTTTTGTCAGAAGAGGAGAAGCTCTTCAGAAAAATAAAAGTCATTTCACATAACCCAAATCTAATTACTACCACTTCTCTCAATTGTGAAGCCTAGAAACATTGTTCGAAGCCGTTGTATTCCTAACAAAGGCCATCCCAATTCGCCAGTATGACTATACGAGACAGAGGGACCGAAATGTTTCAACTCATGCCGTCTCATCTCATTAACATGAGTCGAATCGATTCGACTAAGCAATTCTTTTGTAGTTTCCTACTTTTAAAATTTCTAACGTTGAGAGGTGAATGTGTCCATGGAGAGTAGATTGTAAAATTTTTCCTTCTCTTCTCTTCGATTTCACTTAAGTTTTTATCCCTCTTCCCCAAATTTGTTTTTGGCCACCTACCTACCTTCTTCCAAAATTGAATTTTTTTAGCTTTCGTGTCATTGTCAATGAATACGTGTCTCGTAAATGATGTGGGTCAAATCAAATGAATTATCTGAATCTATGCATTTCTATGAAACTTGCAAGTCCACGTTATAGTGATAAGTCTGTTTTGCTATGTTTTGGTAATATTTAATACATGATAGTAAAAATGCCAAATGTGCTGTCTATATGGTAACTGGAAAACTTTATAGTCGGTTGTGTATTGATAAGTACCAACTTAATTACATTTAAACCTTGTTAATTATTGTATTATTGTGACGAAGCTGTCGTGACTATTTGAAATTTACCAACTCATATCAAAATTATCAATGTCCATATTTACCAACTTATATTACAGTTGAATTCACTGTCGTTATCATAGTTTGGTGGCGTTTTCAATTTGCAGCAATTGTAAATATTTGAAAGTTCACCAATTCTTAATCGAAATTATCCATTATCAATGTCCACCTAAGTAATCGGAAAAATGTACTTCCAATCAAAGGAGAATCAATTACGTAACTTTTGTCATCTTTTAATTATTTTTATTCATAACGAATTGTAATATTTATGCACTTTCTAAATGCTATCGAGTGTATGGTTTAGGAAAGTAAACGTTGTCGATTTGCAATTAGGAACAAAGGCACCAGAGCGGTGAGGCACAGGCTTGTGCGGATTTCATCTAACAGGCCCAGATTTTGTTTTATTTCATGGCTTGCCATTGATAGATTGCCTACCTTGGAAAGAATTGGTAGATGGTCTGCACCTGGTGTCTCTTTGCCGTGCTTATTCTGTAAGTACTGTAGCGAAACTCGCTCTCACTTCTTCTTTGAATGTCGCTTTTCTGCTCAAGTATGGCGCAACGTCATGGAGATATGCTCTGTCGATAGGATTCCCGGGAAATTGGCGAGCTGATCATACTTGGCTTCAGCAAGTAGGGGAGGGCAAGAAGCTGCAGAAAGGATTGGTGAAGTTCCTTTGGAGTGCTGGCATTTACTTCATTTGGAGGCAAAGGAATCCTTTCCTTCATCATCGAGTTGCTGCATCTGTGGGTGGAGAGACCCTTCGCTTCGATTAGATTTCATTGGAAAACATCGTTTCTGAGGGTTGTTATTAGCATGAAGAGAAAGGGTTACATCAGATCTCCATAGGGGTCTGTTTTCTAATAGAAATGTTTGTCTCCGAATGTTCAAGCCTTACCTATGTGAATTGCTTGCTTGTTATTCAAGTCTTCATTTTAAGAAGCTGCAGCATGCTGCGTGCTTAAGATTTGTAACGGCGTCTTGTTGGATTACTATGTTGGGCTCGTTACTGGAGTAATCCATTCATACTTCAGGCGTCGATGCTATTCAACAACTTACTTATTCTAATGAACAAGTAGGCTATGATATCCATTTTTGAAAATGACTCGTAATACGAAAATACGATATTCTCAAATATCATTAGAATCGTCTCGTTTTTAAGTATATCCCACGCAATGGACAAGGTACCCTCCAGTGAATACGGGAAACCAGACCGGGCTAAACCGCGGGGTTAAAAAATGACTCGTAAAAATCAATTCACGCAGGTAAAAATAGAACGTAAAAATGAAAAATTACTCTCTTCTTGCACTTGTTCACGCGGCAAAGGACAGAGAGAGAGAATGGGGTTTGACTTTGAATTTTACTACCGGTCCATCGAAACGCTCTCCCCGGCCATAGAGGGCGCGCCACGTGTGACGAAACGGCGACCGGGGGGGAATTAATGGTGCGTTGATCGGTTTCGCTTCGTCAAAGCGCGGTTAAAGTCTCCTCCCACCACGGCCCTCTCTCTTCTCTCTCTCTCGCGTACGGTGCAACGAGAGAGAGAGAGAGAGAGTGAGAGAGAGAGAGACGAAGAATCATAAATGATGACTCAACCCCACCCATTCATTGCGTCAACACGAAGGCGAGCCCCACCCCCACCCCAACACCCTCTCCCCCTCTCTCGATCTCGACTGTTTCCTGCTAAATTTTAGTGCCAACACAGGAAAAAACCAAAGAAGGAGAAGCAGAAGAAGAGGAGGAGGAGGAAAGAAAGAGGGTAAATAAGTTGCTTTCGTACTCTTCAAGTTACAGTCTATCTATCTCTGTGTCTCTGTGTGTGTTTCAGAACGCATGCCGACACTTGTTGTGCCCGTGGTGCGCTTGTTTACTTACCTTGAAAAAGAAGGGAAATGGTCTTTTTCTCTGGTTTTTCTTTTTCCCTTTTCTCACCCTTCTCGTTTTCTTCCCTGTGAAGTGCACTTGACTTGAGAGGTATGGTGGTTTCGGGACTCAGCCATCCGACTTAAAGAGCTTTCGCGAGCTTTCATGTTCTGGGTTTTGACCAGAACGCGAAAACTCAGTCTTCCAGGTATGGCAATTAATTATGAGCTCAAGCCTCATCTTTCCAAAGGATTAATGCGGGACGAGAAAAATGCGTTTTCTTCTCCTTCTTTGCACCTTGCACTTTGCACCAGCTGTTTCAGCTCCCTAATTTTCTCCTCTTTTTCCTGGAAAATACTCGTGAACATGAATACCCATTTCTCAGTTTGACCTAACTCTACGGAAGCTTTCTTTCTTTTGGCCCTCCTTATCCTTGGCTCAGTGGGTGGGTTCTCTCTCTCTCTCTGCGTTTTTGTATACAGGAGGTGCCCGGTTGAAGAGAACGGAGAAAGAGGAATCCGAAGGGTTTTGAACACAGCTCTTCTCTGATCTTGTCGTGTATATACGTTTGGGAGGAAAGCAAAAAAAATTAAGAGAGAGAGAGAGCAAAGATGTTTGGAGATTGCCAGGTGATGTCATCCATGGGAGGGACTGGTATTTCCGCCGAGTCCCTCTTCTCGTCGCCGATCCGAAACCCTAACTTTGACTTCATGTCGAGCTTGCCCTACAACGCCTTCGCTCCGCTCATTCCTGTCAGTTTAAATCTCTCTCCCTCCGCCTCGGAACAACATGCAGCGGCTCTAAAAGCCGACTGGTCCTTTTTGTCGCTGACGCGTCACGCTTCTCATTTTCGATCTTTTGTAGAAAGAAGAAGAGATTAATGGATTTCTGGGAGGGAGCAGCAACAGCAAGGAGGAGATGGTGGACAGTGGAGGGTCGGGGAGCGAGCATTTCCTGGAAGAGAAGTCGTCGGCGAACGAGCTGTTAGATCAAGACGGCGGCGATCAAGATCAGCCTGCTAACAAGAAGAAGCGTTACCATCGACACACCGCTCGTCAGATCCAAGAAATGGAAGCGTACGGGTTTTTTCTTTTTTATTTTAAGACATACACACACTACACATTCCTCTCTCTCTCTCTCTCTCTCTCTCTCTCTCTCTCTCTCTCTCTCTCTCTCTCTCTCTCACATGCAAAAGGTCATATACTATTTTTCAAATCATTTTTTTGGTCCATTTTCCTACTCGTGTTTCCTCCTTAAAGTCAAAATTTTCATGCATGTAACTAGTTTTTTACAATTATATATGCTAGTCACCTCATCATTCTTCTTTCTTTCAAATATTCTAAGCACATTACTTGTGCTTATATAGTACCTGCACGTTTCGCCATCCCCTAAGGTTTCGGAGATCTTGAACATTTTTCTCTTCGTCTCACTTTTTGCATTTTTCTTGAAAGTAATTTTTTTCCTTTTTAAAATGTGTTACAGATTGTTTAAGGAATGTCCTCATCCAGACGACAAGCAGAGGATGAGGCTGAGCCAGGAGCTAGGGCTCAAGCCTCGCCAGGTCAAGTTCTGGTTCCAAAACCGGCGAACCCAAATGAAGGTTTGTGTGCGTGCGTGTGTTTCTGTCTGTGTCTGTGTGAGCTTCTCTGGCTAATATTTATGTGCTTTCTTTCTCTTCCCTCTTAAAGTTTCAAAACCCTAGTTGATAATGTTACCAGGTCATAATGAGCCATTATTGAGCTCCCTCTCACTATGTTGCGTAGCTCGTAGAAGAAAGGAAAAGAAATCCTTTTAACGACGGGGTCATTATTTGTAGTCCTCTTCCCTACCGACTGCAATGTATACTCCTCAATAAATGTTAGCTGCTGCACAAATAAAAACCCTACCTGTACAGAGTAAATGCTTTGTAAACTTCTAGTGTTCCTCGGAGGAAAAAATGCTGTCTAATGTGTGTTCATGTGAATTGCTAACATGGTATCACTAACCAATGGAGTGTTTTTAGCTTTGTACACTTGGTTGATGAATAATTACGGTTCTAAAACGCAACATTAGCTCGGTGATGCACAGCGCCTTAGTCTGTAACTGAACATTGCCACGAATTACATGATCATACACTGTCTCTCTCTGCTTAGTGACATTGTGTTGAAGTGCATTCACTTTGTATATGGATACTTCACTTCGCTTCGGTCGATTTACTGTTCCTTAGCAAGTTTTCTTTTTGGATAACAATATACGTAGGCACAACAAGACCGAGCTGATAATGTGATACTGAGGGCCGAGAACGACAATCTGAAGAACGAGAATTACAGGCTTCAAGCGGCCTTGCGCAACATAGTGTGTCCTAATTGTGGAGGCCCGGCGATGCTAGGAGAGATGGGCTTTGATGAGCAGCAGCTTCGCATTGAAAATGCTCGACTCAAGGAGGAGGTAAAATTGTTGCTTAGCTGGCAATTGGCACACTTATGAACATAAGAGTTGCCTCATGACTTCCACAAGCCTAAAGGGATAATATTTGTTAATGATGCCTTCCTTTTTCTTTTTGAAAATCAATTGCAACAGTTGGAACGGGTGTGCTGTTTAGCTTCACGGTACAGCGGCCAGCAAATACAATCAATTCCACCACTGCCACCACCGTCTTTTTTATCGCCGTCACTCGACTTGGAGATGACCATCTACCCACCGAGGCATTTCCCAGAACCCATGTCCTCTTGCTCGGACATCATGCCCATGCCTTTGTTGCCGCACGACACTCCACACCACTTGGCCGAAAGCGGCGGCCTCATACTAATGGAAGATGAAAAAACACTCGCCCTAGAGCTCGCCATGTCCTCCATGGAGGAACTCTCGAAAATGTGCCTCGCAACCGAGCCCCTTTGGGTCCGGAGCGGCGAGAGTGGAAAGGTAGCACTCAATTTCGAGGAGCATGCGCGGTTGTTCCCATGGCCGTTGAACCATAATCACAAGCAACACTCGGACGAGCTTAGGAAAGAAGCTAGTAGAGACAGTGCTGTTGTTATAATGAATAGCATCACTCTGGTTGATGCGTTCTTGGATGCTGTAAGTGTTATTTGCTGTAAAATATTTTTGAATTATACATGTATCTGGTATTTTGTTATGATTACATTTTAATGGATTAAGATGCTTTGTCTATTCACGCTATATCGCTGTTAACTTCTTAATCTTGACAGTTGACACAATAATGTATCTTTTTGGCAGAGCAAGTGGATGGAATTGTTTCCCACCATTGTTTCTAGGGCAAAAACTATTCAAGTCATAGCATCAGGCGTCCCAGGTCATGCAAGTGGCTCTCTTCACCTGGTAATTAACTATTTTAAGTAGCTTCTTTTCCCTTGGTTCAACTTTGCGCATTCCATCATTATTAGGTAATTTCACCAAGATTTATTTCCTTCCATTTCAGCATGTTTTAATTTGGACAAACTTGTTTTATTCGTTTGAACAATGACAATTTGTTCATATTGAAATATTTCAAGGAATCAAATTCCGAGTTGCAAAAATCATGTGTATTACTGCACCCTTCATTGACAAAATCTTAAATTTTGAATGTTCACGATTGATTTTGTCTGTGTATGAATCGTTTTTCTTATGTTACAAGAACGGCTTTTTTTTTTTTTTGGTCGATTAGATGTACGCGGAATTGCAAGTTCTTTCACCGATGGTACCGATACGAGAGACATACTTCATTCGCTATTGCCAACAAAATGCGGATGAGGGAAGTTGGGCAATCGTCGATTTTCCCATGGACAGCCTTCACGGCAATCTTGCTTCGCCACCTTCCTTCCCCAGATACATAAGACGGCCTTCCGGTTGCATCATTCAAGACATGCCCAATGGCTACTCAAGGGTAAGCCCAACCTAATAGCTAAACATTTGTACTTGTACTTATATCGATTATTATTATTACAACGACCGTCAATGCCAATATCGCACTCCCAAAAGTTTGCATCTAGATTATAATTACATAAGGATATGAAGATTGAGCAACATAAATTAATCGTGGTTTTATTTGCACTGGTTCGTTTTGTTCAGGTAACCTGGGTCGAGCATGCCGAGATAGAGGAGAAACCGGGGCACCCACTGTTTAGTCAGTTTGTGAAGAGCGGAGGGGCATTCGGAGCACATCGGTGGTTGGCGGTCTTGCAAAGACAGTGCGAGAGGGTGGCGAGCCTCATGGCCAGAAACATATCCGATCTCGGAGGTTCTTCAGATTTATGTCCATCTCTCGATAAATTAGAAGCATTTTGATCTTCCTACATATCAGTAGGATCTCGATAAGAGTATATTAAGTGTTCATCCTGGTTAAGTCCCAAAGGCAAGATCATTTTCCATGACACGCGATGAGACAGGAGTGTCGGTCCAGTGGTAGAGCCCACTCTTTTCCTAATTATAAAGGAAAAAGGAAAGAATCTGGATTCTTTAACCTAAGTTTTGCGGTAGGCCTGTTATGATTTTTGGGATGTGACTTGGCAAATCTCGGGTATTCGATCGATGACCTCTCTGCTAAGAGAATTTGATTAGCGAAGTTGAATGTGAATGTAGGTGGAAAAAACCGAGTTCGTAAGTTAACGATGCCGGCATTTTTGGATTGATGCAGTGATACCATCTCCGGAGGCGAGGAAGAACCTGATGAGGTTGGCTCAGAGGATGATAAGGACATTCAGCACCAACATCAGCACCTCCGGTGGCCAATCGTGGACGGCCCTATCGGACTCCTCGGACAACACCATCCGCATCACCACCAGGAAAATCACTGAGCCCGGTCAGCCCTACGGCGTCGTCCTCGCCGCCGTCTCCACCACCTGGCTCCCCTACCCTCACCTCCATGTCTTCGAACTCCTGAAGGACGAGCGCCGCCGGTCTCAGGTCCTTTATTTTGATTAGATCACTTATGCTTTCGTTTTCAAAGCATATTTGATATAACTTAAATTGCGGGAATACCATAATTGTGACTAATTCCTAATTGGCTTTGCGTGATTTCAGCTGGATGTGCTTTCAAATGGGAATTCTTTGCAAGAGGTGGCTCACATTGCGAATGGTTCTCACCCTGGAAACTGCATCTCTCTTCTTCGCATCAACGTAAGCAACAGTATCAATTGATCACAAGTTATACACTAGCATTCGGCTGTTGAATCTTTTACAACTAGCCTCTTTCTTAATACGTACATAAATATTAAGCTATGCGTTCATCCCACAGCTAATTTGAGTTCAAGATCATTTGAATTCACAATTTCATTTCATAAAGGGAAGTGATAGTCTCCTATTATGCCATGCAGGTGGCGAGCAACTCATCGCAACACGTGGAGCTAATGCTGCAGGAGAGCTGCACCGACGCCTCCGGCAGCCTCGTCGTCTACTCCACCATCGACATTGACTCCATCCAGCTTGCCATGAACGGCGAGGACCCTTCCCGCCTCCCTCTCCTCCCTATCGGCTTCTCCATTGTGCCCTTCGGATCAGGGTCACCCGGATCCGACTCCGGCACCGATGACAACCCAGGGCCTGACTCTTGTCCTCAAGGCAACGGGTGCCTCCTGACGGCGGGGCTCCAAGTCCTGGCCAGCACGATCCCGACGGCCAAGCTCAGCCTCTCCAGCGTCACCACCATCAATAACCACCTCTGCGCGGTGGTCCACCAAATCACCGCCGCCCTCGCTAGCAGCTCCGGTAACGGCAACTCTCCCCAAGCCCCCGGCAACAGCGCTGAGCTGGCGGTGGGTCCGTGCCCCGACCCTGCCGATTCTAAGTCAATCAGTGCTTAGCTAATTATTGTGGAATTACCCAAAACCTCCCCCTCAAGCATTGGATAGACCAAAAGGATTAATTTTTAGCATGAAGAGGGGGGCAGCTAAGGTACGTAAGAATAACGAGATTGAGAAGGGTTAAGTAGTGAAAGGGTTCATGTTCATTTTGTCGGTTTCTTTTTGGAGAGACTAATGTTGTTGAACTTAGGTGGGGGTTTGGTTGTTCATTTCATTTTGGTTCTTTTTGAGGGCAGATTTCATTAGGAACTTATGGTGTATAGCAGCAGCAGCAGCTGTTGTAGTAGGAGACAAGACTTTGAAAAGTGGGTGGTAAAGGAGGAGTCAAGAGCGCACCAGAGATTGACCCCATCGTTTTGCTCCGTGGTGAGAGGTTGT